CCAGTGAGCAAACCGGCCATCCCTATATAGGATCCGAACCCGTGGCCTTGGTGTTATCAGCACCACACTCTACCGAGTGAGCCACGGGATGGCCTTCACAGTACACTTTAAACAAAATCCTCTACCATTTCAAAACTGTGGGCCTACTCCCCATACCGGCCAGCTGCTAAAACAAAAACAAAAACTATGGACCTACTATGTGCCAGGCACTGCATCAAAAGTAGTGGGGTGAGGAGTCCAGAGATGACACACAGTCCGTGCCCTCAAGCTTGCAGGCTTACAACCCAGGGGGAGTAAGACAAGGATCTAAGTGACTTTTACACAATCAGAATATTTGGACAGGGCTGGCTGGTTAGCTCAGTTGGTTAGAGCTGTTGATAACACCAAGGCCAAGGGTTTTATCCCTGTTACTGGCCAGCCACCAAAAAAAAAAAAGAGGGCCGGCCCATGGCTCACTCAGGAGAGTGCAGTGCTGATAACACCAAGGCCCCGGGTTCGGATCCCATATAGGGATGGCCGGTTAGCTCACTGGGTGAGCGTGGTGCTGACAACACCAAGTCAAGGGTTAAGATCCCCTTACCAGTCATCTTTAAAAAAAAAAAAAGAATATTCAGACAGTGTCTTCCAGGGCCCAAGGGAGAGAGAAGTTGGAGCAATCAGGGAGGCTTTATGGAGATGGCACTTCTGCTGGGTCATGGAGAACGGGGAAAGGTTATAGCAGAGCCCAGAGAGGACAGCATTCTGGTGGGGGAGTGGGGCAAAGTGTCAGACAGTGTCTTCCAGGGCCCAAGGGAGAGAGAAGTTGGAGCAATCGGGGAGGCTTTATGGAGATGGCACTTCTGCTGGGTCATGGAGAATGGGGAAAGGTTATAGCAGAGCCCAGAGAGGACAGCATTCTGGTGGGGGAGTGGGGCAAAGTGTGGGGGTACGAAAGCATGAGAACATTTGAGGAACACAGATCCACAGAGTTTTCCTGGAGCACAACAAGGAAATCAAAGAAAGTGGGAGTCTGAGACAGACGGATGGACAAAGTCCATTGGTTATGGACTTCGGATTTGGTGGGAAATGGGGAATCATAAAAGGATACTGAGTAAGGGAAGGAACCACCATACAGCACAGGAGAGACAGTAGAAAGGCTGTTGATTCTGAAAGAGAGAGCAGGACTGTGGGAACTTGCTTTCTCTCTTGAGAGCACCCCCTCTGGGTGTGATCCACACCAGGCCCTTTCTCACACAATATTTTACATAGTCCTAGATGGATATTATTACCAGTTTACAAGTGGGGAAACTGAGGCTCAGAAATGTTAAGCTGCTTGCCCAAGGTCACAGAACAGACAGTGAGCTGGGGCCACTTTTTGATTGTAATCAGTAAGAGCTCTACCTTTTCCCTTCCTGTGACCCGAGAACAGCTTCAAAGTCAACTTTGGGAGCAGGATTAGGACAAGGATTGAACCGGCTGTGCCAAGCTTGGCTACACTGTCTCCCTACAGTCCCTAGAGAAAAATGTTACTATTATTTCCATCCATCACAGGAAGGAGGGAGTGGTGGCTCAGCAAGGTGAAGTGAATTACTCAAGGCCACACATTAAAGGTGGGAATCCAGGCCAGGCCTTCTGGGGAATCCAAAGCCCTAGACCCTTCCCACTACCCCACACTGCCCCAGGTGTATTCCTATGTATGTCTAGAATTGGGAAGAGCCCAGGTCAGAAAGGCCCAGTTCTCTCTCCTGAGTCAACTCCTTTTGATTCACCCTGCTTCATGCCCCTCTGTCAGCCAGGCCCACAATGCCAGCCCTGTGCCATGGTTACCAGGGACCAGATTATGCTATCCCCAGTCAGAAGCAGCATCTCCACTGCTTGGATTTGGGCCTAAATGCCTACACCCTTACAATCTGTCTCTGAGCAGGTGACCCACTGGCCACAGCCACTGTGTGTTAGTTGGTTTCAAGGAGTGACCTTTCCCTGAGCTGGGCCTCTGTCTCACACCTACTGGTGTCTCTCATAAGCCACTGGCTTGTGGTGATCTCCTCCCAGGTTCTGATGCCAGACCCTGAAATGCGCAGTGGCACAATGAATACGGACTGCTCTGCTGGGAAGGGAAAACCAAGAGATTTAGTGAATCATAACGAAAAGGGGTGGGGTAGAGCCTGGATTCCTTACACCCACCATCTCTCACTTGAGCCTCAAACCATCCCCAAAGTAGGCCTTATAGACCCATTGTACGGATGTTGGCTTGGAGGCTCAGCAGAGGAAGACTCATCTATGATCACCCAGTAGCAAAATGACAGGTAGTGTTCAGGCTTGTTCTTTGTGCCATTTCTGGCAAGGGATGAGAGGAAACATCCAGAGGCCAGTAGACACCTGACTCCAGGGCCATCCTATGCCACTGCCACTGTGACATTTGTATAAAAAAGCTTCTTTTATAAAAAATGCGTGTAGGGGAAGGTACAGTGAATGCTTTGGGTTAAAAAGAAATGGAACAGATCAAGTCAGTAAGCAGTGAAAAGTCAGCAGCTGTAACATTCTATGATTTAACACAAAAAATATGTTGAGTTCCTCAGCTGAAAAAATAGAACAGTTTCTTTTTCTTTCTCTCTCTCATCAGATACAGGCAGGGTGTTGCTATTACCTGAGGACCTCTTTGCTGTCATCCTTGATCAATGTTCAAATGAACGCCCTTTACGAAAAAAAAAAAAATTCAGTGCCCTGAACTTTTCCAGAAGAATCCAGGCAGAAAGTTTGCGCATGTGAAAACACACAAGCTAAGCAAGGCAAATGCAGAAGTTGCTTCTGGTGATCTACATAGCAACGACACAGCGTGGCCAGTGAAATCCCCTCTTCCCAGGAGAGGGGAAGAAACCGCAGAATGTTCCTGACTGCACCCTGGCCGGGTGGCGCAATGTTTATGTTTGTGTACCTAGCACTTCGGTGTCGCCACAGCGGGCTCCGCTGCCCAGGGGCCCTCACTAGCGCTCAGGGCGCTGATACCGTACGGAGTCTTCCCAAGCATTTGGGTCCTGGCCCTGGCAATCCTCGTAGGCGCAGCGGGACTGAATGTCGAGTTCAGCCTATATAGATGGCGAGGACCAGGGGGTGAGAGGCGGAGCCCGCTTCTGTTCGGTCTGGAGCCCCCCAGCCCAGCGCGTAGCGGGGGCTCAGTCAATATATAATAAATATATGGATGGAGCAGCCCGGTCTTGAGCAAACGTGACGGAAACGTGTCTGGCGGCCACTGGGGGCGCTGTCGAGCCGGGCCAGCCTCCCCAACCCCCCATGCCGAACCCTGGACTCCACAATAGGACCTTGCGACCCCCGCTGGGATGACAGCCCCCCGACCTGCTTTCTTGGGCCAAAGTCTTTCAGGGACCACATGACTAGGAATGACATTTTTTCTGGTGGGGATTTGATGGGAGGTATTTTCTATGTTAAAATATAAACTTTAAAAAAATAACATTAGAGAAAGCCTGGGAAACAGGAAAACATTTCCCTGAACCTCTCCACCTCAACTCCGTCGCTCTTGGTAGGAACGACATTTCAAGGGACAAAGTTCATTTTTCTCCAACCCTCACCTCAGGCTCTTCCCTGCTGCCTCCCCCACCCCCGCCCCTGTGATACTGGGCAGGTTAGCCGCTTGTCCTTGGGAACCTGTTTCTCCGCGAATTAGTGATGAGGAGTGAGAGGAAGGGGCACATGTGTCTGCAAAAGCGCAGGAAGCCCCTTTCCGCTTGGGTCGGTGGCCGAGGGAGGCTCGTGCAAGGGAGGGGAGGAGAGGCGGAGGCAGGTGGCATATTGCCCGCTCTTCCAGGCGCTCGCATCCTGGAGCTCAGCCCCAGGCTGGCAGCACGCCCTCCTCCTCCCCGCCGGGCCCGGAGGCCGGCGCGGGCCCTGTCCCCGGGGACGCGCCAGGAGCAGGCCGGACAGCAGGGCGGAGGCAGAGGAGCGAGCCAG